TCGAAGCGGCTATTTTAGAATCAAAATTTTAAATAATTTAAAATAAAATATATATCAGAATTTATTCCAACAATGAATAGTTTTCAAGTTATGAGCAATGTGTATGTATATGTGTCTTTATAGATATATAAGTAAAGTTGAAATTCGCAATCTGTACCCTAAAGGTGAAGGGGCCCTTACACGGTCAATATCGGATATATTGACTGTCTGAGGGATATATTGTAACAATTATATCGAGATATACCACCTTCACTAATATTGATCCAATATTATGGATTCAGTAATATTAACCGTGTAAGGTGGGCTTGCGAAAAAATGACGAAATTTTTAAAACTTTTCTTTCCCAATTAAAGTTTTATTGAATTACTAACTATGTGTGAGGCGTTAACTATGTGTGATTAACTTTTTTGATTGAATTATTTTAACTTGATAACAAATAGAACTTTATTCAAATACAACAAGAACATGTTGTAGGAATAACATACTTTACCTGAATATCAATTCAGTTTTTTTGTATAAAGTAATAGTTAACTAAAGGTAGTTAAAAAACTTATTTTTTATGATTATTTTTATAAATATAAACACGTTGATGCAGGTGTTCAATGAAAGTTATTAATCTTTAAATTAGAGTGTTCTATAATTTTGAGAAAATAGGAAATTAGTTCAATGTTAAAACATTTATCTTGGTTTGTCCGATTTGACCTACTAAACCGTCTTAGTAAGATTAGTCACCACGTGTTTTTCCGTTTGTCAGTTATAATTTTTTTTTTTTGTGTTATGTCTCTCGTTAGTGAATACATTATAACAAAAGGTGTACGACCTGCAGACTAAAAATTAAGTTAAGTTGAAATAAATTGTTCTTACTTGTTCTTTAGCTAACAGACTATTGTTTATAAAAACTATCTGCTCTGATAAACATCGTAAACGTTTCCTCCTGATCACTTTCACTGATATCCTTTCTCTATATTTCGTAATAACGAAAGAAAACAATTTGATTTAATTACTGTTATAGATTAAGAACTCTTAATCGTTAAAGAGTCTGGATATAACCATTTTATTGGAAATATCCTCTCAAGTTAACATTGAAATGGGTTCGATAGTTGTTTTTAGTAGATATTATATTATGGATCCTTTTGCTACGTTTTCTTGTTAGCTTAACTCTTTTTACACTGGAATCAATTTATCGAAGACCAAAATAGCACCAACAAATCCCAAAAAGTTTTTTTTATATCGGCAAATCGGAAGTGGCACTTTAGATAATGGACTAAAAACATTTTTACAATTTTCTCGAAAATGGCTCTAACGATTTTGTTAAAATTCATCTTATCAGTGTAAAATTAAGCAGTTTTAAATACAATGTAGTTTGTTTTGATTGATGTTCTCTAACAGGACTTTAATGGCTAATTTTTAATATTAGCTTCTTCTAAAGTACCTTTAATTTTTTTTATTTGAAACAATTGACCATTTCACATTAATCTCTAGTATACGAAATAGTTAGATATAAAATATGAAAGAATTTAGATAATTAAATAAAGGAGAAATAAGAAATCGTAACGGAGAATAGTTGTAATTGAGGTATCAAAGAAATAGGTACGCATCCGAGCGCGAGTTAAAGATCACGCTTCCGTAATACTAAATATTTTTTTTAACCTTTAATTGTTGTTTCTTACCGACAGTAACCTTTAACTAATTTCAAAATCATATTATATACGGTCAACTATTTCTGCACTGTTATAATGTATTTAATCATAATTTTGATAATTTTAATTTTATTTTTTCTGTTTTACAGTATTAGGTTGGCAAATAACTCCTTTCGGTTTTCTTTTTCTTTTTATGTCATTATGATACATTTCTTATCTGATGAATTATTCCCTAAGGTGGATTGTTTATCCTGTTTGTAATTTGTCAACAATTATATCTGTTAACTCTTATAGAAACTAGCTTAGTATTGTGTTAAGTTGCTATTTCACTGTGAATATGGAAGAAAATATCATTCATTATCGGCATATTTTATTGTATTATTTTAAAAAATGTGCAGAAGCTCATAGACAAATTTGCAGTGTTTATGGAGGTAATGCCTCAACAGAACGCACCTGTAAAAATTGGTTTACCAAATTTTATTCAGGAAATTTTGACATCATTGATGCTCAACGGTCTTGTCGCCCACATGAAATTGAATCGAGCAATGTTATGGCCATTGTTGATCAAAATCCCACCCAATCAGTGTGAGATATTACTATGGTCCTAAAGGTGTCTTACACAAGCGTAGAAAAACATTTGCACAAGCTCGTTTATGTTTCCATGCTTAATGTTTGGGTTACCCGCTCTCTGACCGAAGTCAACTTGGCAACACGCATTTCGACCCATTTTTGAACAGGTTGGTAACAGGAGATGAAAAATGGATATTTTGCGATAATGTAGTTCTTAGAAAATCTTGGGGACCTAGTAGTGAGGCCCCTAGAAGAATGTCAAAACCCGGATTGCATTCAACAAAGATAATGCTTTCCATATAGGTGGGTATTATTTTCTATGAGATATTGCCATCAGTACAAACAATTAATTGCTACATTATACTGCTCACAATTACCAAAATTGGATCAATTAATTAAAAATAAACGTCCAGAATTGGCCAATATGAAAGGTGTTGTGTTCCACCAAGACAACGCTCGGCCCCACACCTCATTGGTCACTCGCCAATGGTAATAAATTATTGAGCCTTGGATGGGACTTTTTGCCCCGCCCTCCTTATTCACCTGACTTAGCTCCATGTGATTACCATTTATTCCGGTTTCTTCAGAGCTCTATTAACGGAAAGAAATGCAAAAAGGAAGAGGACATCAAAAATGACCTAGATCAGTTTTTAACAATAAACTCCAGACATTCAATTAACGTGGCATTATACAGTTAATGGAAATATGGGAAAAAGTCGTATTAAATGATGTTCAATATGTTGCAGATTAAAATAAATTTTATGTCAAAATAAATTGAGTTTTATTTCAACCGAATTATACAGAAATTAGCTCAATTTTATCAATTAATATATTAAATCTTCAATTTCAATTATTTATTCACAGTTAAATTTTAAAGACGACTATCGGCGAATTGAGGCGTTTTCAGAACACTCCTGGCGTCGATATCAAGCAATAATAATAAACAAACGATAGTATGGTATTATTATTATTCTTTAAAAAATAAACGAAAATTAGTCATACTGACAATATAAACTAAAAAAAAAAGTCCCCATTTTGGGTTCTGAACTTGGTTCATTCTATATGAGATACCATCTGTTAAATAACGTCTAATTAATAATGATAAGTGAAGCCTGAATTTATTATTGAATCTTTCAATTAGTGGGGAATTAATAAAGGGCTGCATCCTAATTGGCGATTAATTTACACGGCAATGATTGAAATTCCAACACGTGCCTCGTCTATTTTATCTTTTATTTGCATTTTGCCTTGTCGATATCGAATGTTTCTGTTCACCAAAACGAGTGTGTTAATTTAAGAAAAAAAAATCCTTTACTCATTTTTACTCATTTCTAAGTTATAAATCGAATCCTCCAATTATTCCTTAAAAGATTAGGACTCACCTTCCTATATGAATGGTGTGTACCTAATTTCATGCTCCGTTTGTTCTTCATGGATGCTTGAATAGAAGAAACACTGATGTTAGCTGTATCAATTGTTAGGGTTTCGTTATTTTTCTTCATCTTAATGTATTTTATAGATATAATATATAATTTGCTGTTGGTTTTACCATCTTTCACAATTCAGAATAACTATTTTTCATTACAGTAAATTCATAAATATTTTATGATCAGTTATTTTAACCCTAGAACGTGAGAAAGATTTAATCCTGATATTGTCCGTAATCGTTATAGAATTGATTGATTTTTTTTATTAATATAGCACAGGAGTTACTGCAATAATTGAAGCGTCTTGGGCATGATACCATCCTATATATTATTTCTAAAAGGTGTTTTTTTGTCTGTACGCCATAACTTCATCAATTCTTCATCAAATCCAATGATTGACCCCTGACTCATTTTGAAGATATTCTGCTCCTTCACATGCGAAAAATAGTCCTATCCCCCCGAAATTTCTGGAAAAAAAGTTATGGAAGAATAGAAACTTTATTTGCGAATAACCAACCCCCCTTTGATTTTATTTCAGAAATCACAAAAAGTGTTATAACTTCAATATTCATCTACCTATTCACACGAAATTTTGTAGGGATATAGGGCCTTATAAACTACACGAAATGACACAAACTGTACATTCCTAAATAAGTTAGAACTCAAGTTATAAAATAAAAACCTGTTAGGTGGTTTTATTTGTTTACTCTTGATAATAATAATAATGCTTTATTTATTCTGGGACGAGTCCCTTTAGAATAATACAGGGGCGTGTTAAATTATTGATTGATTTATAGACGTGTTAAATAAAAAAAAAAATGTATACGGTCTTGAAGAGCGATAATTCAGCTTTCAAACGGTTGTAGTTTCATTAAATTAGGATGAAATCCTGAGGAGTTATGAATGTTTTAGTTAAAAGCAGGCAAAAACATCATAACGAAAAGTGAAGTCGTTGCCATGACGACTATCTCAGCACAGCTCTTCTATCCTATATATTATTTCTAAAAGGTGTTTTTTTGTCGATGCGCCATAACTTCGTCAATTCTTCATCAAATCCAATGATTGACCACTCATTTTGAAGATATTCTGCTCCTTCACATGCGAAAAATAGTCATGTCTCCCCGAAATTTCTGGAAAAAAGTTATGGAAGAAAAGAAACTTTATTTGTGAATAACTCAAAAAGTATGCATTTTTCTCTGGATTGCACCTATGATAATTAGAAAGATTACTAAATTACCTACTAAACAAAAACAAAAAAAATCGTAAAAATCTATTAGAAATATGTCAAATATAATTTAAACAATTCGTATTGACGGAAGGAGTAAAGTGTGTTGAAATATTTTTTGTTTAAAGGAGAAACAGAGTTGTGATTTGTATTTCGCAGCTCGAAAGACCCTCGAATACAAATTTTCATTCCGATCGAATTTTTTTTTTCTACAAATTTGACACAAGACACACAGCCCCCTTTGATTTTATTTCAAAAATCACAAAAAGTGTTACTGAATACCACTTTTTTCTAACATGATGTTCATTTTTAACCCACCTTCGTTATCAAAATACCAGTTGTATTAACCATGTGTTTAGTACATCGGTTTAAGTTGTATGTAAAGTGTCAAACTAGGTACTGTGCTATGGTTACCCGCCATTTTTTTTTCTGATCGAAGTACAATTGGACAGAAATTTTCGGTATCAAAATGTTTGTACGGCATCACAGTGTCTAAGCCAATACGCGAATACCACCGTTCCAGATTTGAAGGAGGAGTCATCATGATGCTCCGGCAACGTAAGAATGTTTGCCAATGATCTCTCTGACCGTGGACGCTCAGAAGATTCCAGCAGAGTGTCAAATCAGTTTTGAGGAATTCATATTTCTTGGAGCTATCGATTCCGTCCCATGGCCTCCATATCGGATTGAATCGGAAAATTCGGACCAAGGGGCAAGCAGGAGGTGGTTATGCCGTCCCCGTTGGAGGTGGTGGGGGCGGGCGAGTCGATACCGGGAGGCGGCCCGCCAGTAGAACCCCGGTCGCCGGAGAGCTGGCTCCAGTAAGTACAGCTAGCCTCTTCTTCAATTCTCATCTGCCTTCTTCTAGAAACAATTTATATAATTTATTTCTATCAATAATCAAATATATTTATTATATGACCTCCACCATCGCCGCAAGACTCCCGTGTGTGCCAGTTGTGTGTGCTTGTATGGGTGTGACAATGTCTTAGTGTGTGTTTATAATTTTATATCTTGTTATTTGGTGTACTTATCAACTTGAGCAGACAAATTATTCTTGAGCTTAAAACTTGATTGCTTGATGGAATGATTTTATGTGGGTTGTTTATTATCAACATTATTCATTTTTTTATATATATATAAATTTATTTTATTTGCAAGTATGAACTAAGTTTCACTTTATTAAAATCAACATTACTAGTTTATATGTTTGTTATAAAAACAATTTAATCAGCATTAATTTATTAAAACTCTGGCTTACCTCTAAAAATTAATCAACTCTTTCTATTATTAACAATTTCTATTATTTCACTTCAAATTCCATCTAATACTTATATTATATTTACAACACACTAGACTGTCCCAACAACAAAATTGCCTTACAACACTATCATTCTAACCCCCTTATTTGTTTCAATAAAAACAAAACATTGCAGTCTAACCTTAATTATTCACTATCGATATACCTTGAACAATACATTCTATTTTATTAAATTTCAATATTTTTAGAGTCATACAAATTTTCATTTACTTCATTTTACTCTGTTCAATAACAACTTTTAAAAACTTCATCGATAAATTTATTATGTAATTAATTAAAGAATTTTCAATGGTTTGTGGCACTTCAAATTTTTATGTATCGTCATTGAATTACAAATTCAAAACAATTTTTAAGACGTCAACGTGTAATTGCCGCACTTAAATATTACTTTTGATTACAGTTTTCAAGTTTTGTATTTACATCGTTTTATATCTTAGCCGTCTATATATAGTACAGAAACTGTTAAAAAGATACTCTCATGTGTCTCGGGAAACATCGATTTTGCTGTTATTAACATTAAATTTTCAAGAATTCATATGATTTAAAATTGTATTGATTTCCCATGAATTTAATAATGAGAAGTAACTACTTATTTTTATCACTCGAAATTGCAGGGTCAAGTGTATAAATGCGATAAGTAATATTTTTGAGCTTTTAGAAAACTCGTGAATTAAAATCACGTTTATTCACTAAAATACAGACGTGTATCGCCATTTAGGATTTTTATCATCAACTCGGTTAAGAACAATTATTGAATTTATGAGAATGAAAAAAAGAAAGATTAATAATTTATTTGTTAACGCCTTTATCCTTAACAGTAATTTATTTCCCCCCACATGACTTTCGTTCGTACTACCACCTTTTTTTTTTTAGACTCATCACGATGCATTTTCGTAAATATGCTTGTGACGATTGAATGTAATTTTAATTACTTGTAATATATATATATAAACTTAAAAAGGGAGCGAGGTAATTCAGTGGGTGAGTACTGACTTCCAGAGATCAGGATCCCAGGTTCGAATCCGGCTGATGACTAGTATTTTTTCATCAGCCGTGATTCGACCCTAAGGCCTGGAGTGGAGACCCTCCTGGTGCAAACCCAGTCTCTATAAAGTGGGTACTTAACGTATAATTAATAATTATAGCTTAACATAATAATTAACGTAAATAGTTAATTAACCTCGCCGCACAACCGTTGTCCTTGTAACCATAAAAATTTGGTTTGTAATTATATTAGCTATCGATTGTATCGATGAATAAAGTCGAAATTCATAAAAACATTATTGAAAGTTAACATAAAATGCACTTAGTGAATTTTTGCAGCAAACCGATGATATTTATTATTTGACTTTCGAAACAGTTTATTTTTCTATAAATTTTATTGCCGATTTATGCTATATATAATATTAACTTCATCATATTAACTTTTTTCTTTTTTTATAATTATTTTTGTAGTTTATTATAACTATTAAACAAATATTGTATTATATTTACTGTAGCTAGACCACTCGCGTAATTAAAATAATCTAACTGGGATTAAATTGATTTGAAAGTACGAATTATCTTTTTTAGTATGATGTCGATTCAAGTTCTGTATTAAACTTGATTAAGAATGTATTGGTTAATGTTTTTAATATTATTTTTTGGTTTGTTACATGAATTTTGAAATCTATACCGAGAACTACGTTATTATAATATATCTATTATTCCATGTTAGTCCTGTTAACAGTCAATCGATCACAGTCAATCACACCTCTTTGATAACCCTGCATAGAGGTCCTATGATTATGTATTTTAGTGATATTTTATATTTTTTTTTTTATTTACACCATTTTAAAATTTAATCACGATATTAAGTGAAAATATTACTACTAATTAGGAATAGTTTTTAATTTTTTTCAAACACGTATTTTTTTATAAATTATTTTTTATGTTAATCTTTCAATTCAAATAGTATATTACCTTCTTGTTATAATATTGTAAGATTTGATCATAACAAAATTATACAAAAAGTAATTTAAATTGATTGAGGTGGAAATTTGATATTAATAATAATCCGCGGTTAGGTACTGATTTGCAGTTTTTTTTTCTTATAGGATTTCTGATGATTTAATCAGTACCATCAATCATGAAGGATGAATTTCTTTTCTTAATTTTAACCACCATGTCAAAACTTAATTAATCATGATTGATTTTATGATCTTAAATAAGGAAAACGTTTTTGCCTTTGTTTACTGTAGCCTCTTTATCATTTTATTTTATTATGCTGTCAAAATTTTATTATCTAATCCTTCCATTGTTGTGTGATTAATTTGTACACAAAAATTAACCTTAATTGAGGATTAGAGCTGATATACTACTTTTAGAAGATGTCCCGCATATATTGCTTCAATTATCATGAACTGTGGGGTAGATAGTTTTGGTAGCTAAGCGAATGAAAAGGACAGGACTTATCCTTACAGGTATTGGCTGACGGGAATAAGATAAATGTGCACTATTTTGTCTTTCAGTCAGGCAATATAAGTTATTTTATTTGTTGCAATTTCAATTTTTATTACTTATGCATTGATTTTATATAATATGTTAATAATTTATAATAGACCTTTATAAAAAGATGATTTCTCGATATACGATAAATAAAATAAATTATACAGAAAAATAATATACATACAATAAATAAGAATAAAATAACCTAAAAATAAATAAATAAAAAAGAACACATACATACCTACAAAAAAAAAAAAAGAAAAAAATATAATAGCAACGAATTTGTTTTTTATATATAATTCTTTATTAAAGAAAAAAATAATAACGAATTATAAAGATCCGTTTTCTCTCGTCTGAAGCTTTTCCTGGAAACTGCCAGACCACTATTTATATGGATGTTGAAAATTCTAAAAATTTAAAATTCCATCTGTCATTTTATCTCAAAATGGCGAACGATTTTTACCCTGCCGTCCATGTACGGATTTATTCAAGAATTCGAGCCAATTATGTTTCCAGATTTCCCTGAAACCTGATCTAGTCACAAGCCACTGGGGTTTGCAATACTTCGATAGTTATCGAAATATCGCCAACCCTAAGGATAAACCAAGTATAGTCCTAGAAACTTAATCTTACCACCCACCATTTTGTTTCAAAATGGCGGCCAATTACGAAGACATTGTGAAGTGTTGAGTGTTTTGGAGTCACAACATCGTGAGATTTTGGTATAATGCCTTATACAAAACATTATTACTATCTGTGTTGATAAATGATATACAGGTCGTGCAGTAATCTTCAGCCGCATTTTATTAAAACTTCTTATAATTAATTTTATTTTAGTATTATTGTTATCATTTTATTGGAATAAATGGCGCTAGTTGGGAATTTTCAGTAATACTCTTTAAAAAGCCGGAAATTCTATTGACCAACATTTTGCTTAACACAACAATGTATCATTTCTTCTTATTATTATTGTTTTTCCCGCCCTAGATATATAAATTTTTAGCTATGGCCGCAATGGACTACTTCTCACGATCAATTTTGGTGTGTGCAAGTTTTTGTACTACTCATATTATTATTAAATTTTATAAGTTTTTCACGATAACCCATTTTATTATTTATGATTTTATATTGCTGGAATATTAAGTGGCATTATCGCCTTCATGTCTACATAGATGGTCTAAGTTCTCTTGTTTCATTACTTGATAGTCTATCAAAATAGAAACATGAATTATTTTGCTATTGGGCGTTGATGTATATGTGTCTGTATTGACCTAAATTGGATCCTGTGCATATAGGGATATTCCGCCCCCGTATAGGCAGGGCTTCAATCGCTGCTTCTATTGCTTCCATTCTGCTCTGGTGCTTTCAGGGCATTGATCCTTCGAGGTTTGGTTTGAATGTTTGTCATCCTCATACGTTTTAGTCATGAAATATAAACAACTAAGTTATATGTCACGTTTATGTTTATATTTTGTAGTTTTAGTTTTTTTTTACCTAATTATATATATCATTTCACCAATATTTGTATTCAAAGAGATTTGCAACATTTGCCGAAGTTTCAACCCGAAGCTTAGCCCTGATGAAGACTTGAACGGGTTGAAACGTTGGAAAATGTTTTTTATTTATGATATTTACAACTGTATTAAGAAAGAATAGATTCAGTAAATGTGATAACAGAAAATAAAAACATGATAACACTTGTTGAGAAACTACCTACTGGTAGCACTCTAATGCAAATGTTAAAATTAATATTATTATTTATTTTTGCCATTTTTATTTTGACTGATCAGCCCAACCATCCTTCTCTTCATTATTCACTACAGTCAACCATCAACCCAGAATCAATGAATAATAGTTTATTTTCTTATCACTATGTAATTAAACTGGTGCATATATATTATGGAAGCAATACACACAGATACGGATACATTTACATATTATTAGAAGAAGAAATAATATTGATCGGTGTTATCATTGAACATAAGTATTTTAAGTTGGTTGAGTATGTATACC